ATAATAACTTATTCTTTCACAACAAATGACAACTGTACAGTACTTCAATCATACATACACACACACACTCAATTAAATGCAATAGCTTATTAGCATGACCATAGTGACATATATTGCCAAAGCTTTAAGTTGCAACATCTATACACAAATACACACAAATAAACACATAAACAGTTATAAACAAACTGCTTAGAATGTGGTGTATCAGCTCAGTTTGATTCCCTCAGACTGTGGCAGGCAGAGACAAACTGTCCTGCAACAATGCAGCTCTCTTTATATTCCCCGAGTAGTATGTTTAGTTTTTCATTTTGAAATATTTGACACACACACACACACACACACACACACACACACACACACACACACACACACACACACACACACACACACACACACACACACACACACACACACACACACACACACACACACACACACACACACACACACACAGTGAGAAAGCCGGCACGACCCGACATCTAAATTCAAACCTCATTAAGGGTAGTGTAGTATGGCTTGTTATAATACAATTACAAACATTATATATGTACAAGAAATATACATCATAGAGTGTAACAATTTGCAAGTCATAGTTTGCAAGGAGCTCGAAATAAAAGCAAACAATGGCAAGTAGAGTCACCACAGGGCAGGGCAGTTCACACAGAGCAGGAAAGGCCATACTTTATCAGTGAGAAACACCTTCCACAAACTACTCAAAGCAAATTTACCTCTGCAGTGTGATGTACTGTAAATTAACACCTGCATTATATGCGACAGGGAGGATACTAACTGAGTTGAGTATGGGTCTGTTAAGGGCAGCAGATGGCAGTATTGAATAGCTGGTTTACAAAGCAGAATTATTCAAAGCATGACCACAATCCAACATTTCCAGTTGAGCAGCATGATAACCTGTCATGATTAATTATCTGTCATGGAAGATCGATAAATCTCCCGTCAGCACAAAAAAAGGTTTGCTGGAGAGGCGACAGATGCTTCTTCTGATAAAAAAATCACTTCAACATAGCAGAGGGCATCTAATTTTACCGATATCAACATTCAGCCAACCAGACAGTAAAAGAGTCATCCACATAGCTCGTGTGCACAGACAGGAATGAGGAAAAGATGATTTCACAGTTAAGCGCTGATTTGAGATGAGCAACAGCCTGATACCAGCTACTGTGATGAGGGGGATGGTAAATATTTGCCTACACATGGAACGTGCATACAGTTGTGGATATATCTATAATGTGTTAATATCTTATTCCTTATGGACCCTCGAGTACACACATTTTACAAGCTTGATAGACAAACTCATACATGTTTGGAAGACTAACAATTCAAACCTTTACAATGCATGTCCCTCAGCTTTATCTTGAACTATGCGTAGCATTTACAACACACAAGCCTCACAATACTAGACTGAACAAACCGGTTTATCTACTCTCTGGAATACTATCCTTTTAATGTGAAACATACAGCACTGGTACTTACATACAGCACTGGTACTTACATACAGCACTGGTACATTTCAAAAGCTTGAAAAAGGGGTGTCAGACATTTTAGACAGGAGCTGCATCAATAAATTTATATTTTTTAAAGTTATCTGTTGCTGAGTTTAACCCTCTAGGTAAATAGTGGCCTTGTACTAATAAAAGAGTGCTGCTGGAGCTATAAAGGCAGGGAGGGTTAGCTGCTCAGGTGCCTGAGGGCTCTCTGCCTTTAGAAAGGCCTCCGGGATTTACTTGGGAGAACCATAACTGGCTCTGCTTGTACCTGTCAGGACACATTTGTCGTCAGAGGACTGGCTCATTTGTCCTGTCTTCTGGAGAAGCAGGGGATGTTCCCAATGCAAGCACAATGAATGTAATATATCATCCATCTATTGACAATATGTCATTTGACAATATAATAGAGAGCATTTAGTTTAAAGTTAGATGACATATTCATACAAGCTTAACTTTGGGATTGCTGCTCTGCTGCTAATGGATGAAATGCAGTCGTGACTGTAAACTGAAGCCATTTCATTAAAGCTTTTACATTTGCCGCTATAAACACAGAATGTTAAGTAGGTCTTTCCTAAGGCAAATCCTGTACCGCACAAAAAGTAATGTGTTTCTCACAGCAGCAACAGTTTAGGATGAATAGAGGAAAAAATAGATAATATGAGCAGTGGTGGCTGCACGAACAGAGAATCAAACTGAAATTAACAGATAATATAGGGCTGGCAAAATTCATAGTGCTATCAACAATGTTTGTTTGGCAGGAGATTGATCAAGCCTGTTGGCAAACGGAAAAAACATGGATATCATTTTCTATAGCTTAAATAATGCTGTGTATGATGTTGTTGTAAGGCAGAAGCTCTATGACCTATTTTCAAGCTAAAGTGTTACTGGACTTACTGTTGTGTTTGAACACCCGGATCGTAGCTCCAGATAGTCTGGCCCCCAAGATGAGAGAAGTATGATTGACCTCATCGCTCAGTATCAAGCAACCCTAGAAATCAGCACAAAAAAAGGATTTCAATTATATAAATAAATTAGCAAAATCACAGGTTCCTGTATTATTGAAATCAAACATTTCTTACTAACTTCACAACCTTCCTGTATTCACATTACCCTAACAATTTACTAGTAATCCTTGATTATTTATAAGAGGACGAAATTAGCATGGAGTATATCCAATACAATTCTCTCTTGGGTACAGAAGACATTAAATATCTTCTAACACACAACCGTTAGTATAACCATAGGATGAAAATCATTGCAGTATGAGCGACCCATCTTACAATTGTTTTTGGTGTAATTCTACATTTGTTGTACTGTTTCCTTGCAAAACGTGCCATACAATGGTTATTGGTCTTCAAGGATGCATCTAGCCAATTACCTTTCAGCCTTGTCCTCACTTCCCATCCGTGCCTCAATCATAATCCTCCATATCTACGTCCTCTGTGTGAGATAATACTTGTATGTACTGCACATGTGGGACATTTTATTCATGTCTGACGAAGTTTCGACCCGCAGACACATCACAATATTCATAATTGAGAGAGTAGTACTTCATATCGCACAGAAATCAGCATGCAAATGAATTCAGCTGTTCTACGAAACTCTCTCCAGAACATTAGCATATTTAAGACTGAAGCTCTAAGCATTTGACTACATTAGTTTGAATGAACTCTTGTAGAGGGTGTGTTGACACCGGCTCAGTGACAGATACCCTCGGTTTGGCCCGGGGTCCAGCTGGCCCGGTCCACGGTCTGCCAGCAGCTGTCACTCTAATGTAGCTCTGCCCGCATAGCGCGGCCTGGCCTGTCCCTGCAGGACAGACTTGGCAGTGTGGGTTGACCCCCAGGTTGACCCCCAGCTCCTGCCGGGTTACAGTGGGGGGGCGGCAGCCTTGGGCGCTGCTACACTTATTGAGCTGCTTAAAGGCCCCGGTCTCATCACTTAAACAGTCAACATCCCCTTCCCTCCTGTCCAGTCCAATCACAGATATCCATGCTGTGTGTTGTCCCTGGTTCCCCGTGGCTGTCTGTGTGAGCCAGGCTGGTGTGCTTGCAGGCCGGAGAACGGGTGATAATCATACCCTCGAGTTGTGCTTTTAACAAACCCTTCCCTTTCCATGTCTATGTGACTGAAAGCAGCTATGTATGCCGAGAGCCTTGTCCTCCTGGCTACTGTAATGTAATTTAATTATGATTTTAATTCATGGGGGTGGGTCAGGAGTTGTTAGCAGCACAGTTTAGTTGACTGTTATTCATTAATTTAGCCTGGATGGGAGAAAGGAACAAAGCTAGGCTAATTCGATTAATTTCTGCTGTGCTCTACAAATGATCCACATACAATATTTTCCTGCATGTGGCATTTAGTGTGTACAATCACAAACCTTGCCAACAAGTGCTGGGATGTTCATTGAGTTGGTGGCGAAACCCATCCCAAAAGTCATGGAGGACTCCACTCCGAGGAAAGTGGCCACAAGTTGCTCCAGCTCTTCATGAATGTCCAGGTTACCTACAAGACAAAATAACAAAAGGATAACTCACACTGGAAAATGAACCTGTTTGTTTATCTGGGAGTAAAATTCAAATTCCAGTATCGGAATGTTCTGCATTATGGCATCCAATCATAAGCTTTGAAAGAGATAAAGGCCTCCTGTTATAAAATAAAAAGAACCATATCCAATACTACCAGAACACACTCAGCCAGCACCTCTCCAGACGTGTCAAGAGATTTATAATGAGTCAAGATGTGGTAAATTTGTAATTTAGTTCAAGAACTCTCTATTTTTACTCTTGCAAAGTCTATAATGGTTCTTCAGCCCATTTTGGAATGTGGCAGTTGGTTATTACCCACTTTGACAGGTGGGGACCAGAATACATTTAGAAAATGTATCACGTTGTAAACTGTCACCTGACGTGGTGTTTTTCTATTTTGTGCAATAAAAGTCGGTGTCTCTCTGGGGGACTTTCATTACTGCCCTTGTGGTCAGCGTATAAAAAAAAGAATTACTGTTATAATTGTGAGCTACAGGGAGAGAGGTAGGCAGTGAAAGGTTCATATATACCACATTTTATTCCTGCTGACTCTGGTCAATGTTATTTATATGGTAGGTACTATATCACATAGATGCACTTATTGTGACACACACAATACTTACTATTGTAGTTATAAGTTCTTATAGTATAGAGCTACAGTTATAAATCCAAGCTATTATTATTATTATTAAAGTCTCCCTTTAATTACTTCCAACCTTTAATGAATGAGTTGTATTGATGTATATATCAAGCGTATAACGTATGTATATATATATATAGCGTATAACTACTATAAAGATAAGATTGCTAACATAACAAAAACACAGTAAAACTGTCAGTAAAGGATCTCCATAAAACATTTATATCTGCTTCTATGAAAAAGACAACATGAAAACAATTACCAACAACACAAATAAAGCCTGTCTTTGAGATATCGTGATGACATTGAGGTAAAGAACATTTTATTTCGGGATACTTATCCTTGTAGTCATAATCAATTAGAATCAGTAACTACAGTGAAGCAGCTCTGTTTTTATCCAAGTCAAATCGATTCGTACATTTCCTCAACCACTCAGGCTCACAGCCCCTGCTGGCATGTGCAGCATATTTGATCAGACTGTATCGGCATTTGCTCTCAATATAGAACATTTTACTCTGGGTCTGGAACTAAGAGAGAGCAGAGTCACTGTTAGATCTCACTCACTTTGCAGACTTGAGTTAGCTCTTCTTAAGTCAAATGCATGTACATAAGCTTGATCCCTTGTCCTCTGTATTACCAAGGTCACCTTTCTGCCATCAACATCTTCAAATATGTGCTGAGAAAAAAAAAGCTGTATAATAATTGCCGAGGTTAGAAAGCCTTATTGTGGAGAGACAATAAAGATTGTGCCTACAAATCTTCAAACTCAATCCGTCTTTATTTACCGGTAATTGTTAACCTGTTACTGAGCTTTTTCTTCAAAGGCTTGACACAAGGCCAGGGAAAAAAACAAGTCTTGAAGAGTTAATCATTTCTACCTCCAACATAGACTTGACTCTCATTAGACAAGAAAACCATAGCTTAGTGGAAACATGAAAACTTACTATGACATCACTATATTAGCGTACAAACTAAGGTGAAATACTTACTACTACGTGCTCAGAAGCTGTAAGTCTTGGTAATTTGTCCTTCATTATCTAATGTACTTTGTGTTAATGATTGCAGGCAAAATGGGAGCAGTGAGCTATCCATTAAAACAGATCCATGAATGTGTTACATGTTAGTTTAATCAAAGGGTGTGCTTTCAGTGCACTTTTGATCTGATTTCACATGCCTTTTCAATACAAACATACAGTACTGTATTTTGTTTCTGTGCACTTACGGTCACTTTTGAACTGACTGTCATGTCATTGTTTTCAAATAATTTATACCAGTTGACCAATACACCTTAACAATAATTTATTATAAGATAATGTAGAAGATGTGAGATTAAACTTGAAAAAATAACCTAGTGTCAAAAACATTTAGACTTTTAAGATGTGAGAGGCACAGTCACAGTGAGTAAAGTGTTAAATATTCCCATCATATTATTGCTGGTAAATTCAATAGAAAAACCAATACAAATCGCTCCATGTGAACTAAAACACTGGTGATGGCGTCACTACTACACAACAGAGATCCTCAGGTCTTTAATAATTGATGCCTGATAAGGCCTCATGGGATAAATGCTTGTTATTCCGTAACTCTCTCAGTGAGCCATCTGAAACATGGATTACAAACTCAGGGAAAAACAGTCCCATTTTAAAAGAGAAATAAACATATAAATAAATCACATAAATTAATAATGGATGGTGCGACTGCGAAGGAATGTGTGCGAGTGTGTGCATGTATATGTGGGCGTGTGTGTGTAGGGGTGTTTCTGCACTCTGACAAACAGTCGTATAACTAACAATCACATGCCCTTTTAATTCTTCAGCTTTTCTCTGTTCTTGTCAAACTGCTGATATCATAAAACACTGCACAGCCACTCAGCTCTGAGCGTGCATGTCAGCTCACTGCTAGCCTGCTCTCAGTAGATATACAGCATGCAGGTGTCAGAAGTGCCACAATTAATCATTGACACAGAGAAAAGGAACTACTTTCCTCATGCAAACTTAGCTAAGAGTGGCCTTTTCAGGGAGCTTCATAATGTTTACCCAGTGGCAGGTTTTGAAAAATAAAAACATACTGTAGCTGATCACATGATTTCAACACCAAAACATTATTATGGGCAACACAAGAGATCCTGTCGCACACAGGCACTTAAACACCATCAGAGCCTGGGTAAAAGTTCTGAGGATAAAACAACATTCAAAGTTCCTCTGAAGCCAGAGATCCCACTTTCTGTTCTAACACTTCCATCACATATATAATGCTCCAATGCCCAGGGTTTTCATAATGTTCCATAGCAATATGATATAATTTCCCCCACTCCTCAGTGTCGACCTGTATGTAATGATCTCATCTAATGCCCAAACAGTACATAATTCAACAAAGGTTGAATAATTCATATTACATTGCCTCCACTGAAAGATAATTAAACACGTGGGCAGTATAACTCACAAGCAAGATAATAAATGATGGCATATGCGATGAGCAGTTTAATACTCAACCCATTCAGTGTCAACAGGCTCTGCCAGAGACTTTAAAAAAAGATGCACATGTAAGAAATGTGAAGCACTGTCATATGTAGTAAAAAAGACACCTTATCATCCTGACTTGAATTATAGAAGGACATTTTTGCTCAAGATAAATGAATCCCCATGTTTAAGAGGGCAAGTGCCCTTTTTTCTAGCACAAGCTCACATAGACCAAACTCACCTATTTCCTGTCTTGTGCTGCAAACCCCAACCCCGTACTGGCTAGTTTTTTCTGCCACCGGTTTCATGAAATCAGTGTTGTTCTCAGCGAAACCGAGGTAGTTGTAGGAGCCCATGTTGATGACATTGTGTAGCGTCTTCCCAGTAAACCTGCAAGTATGGAAACACATGGAATTAGATAGCCTTCTCCTTTTTTTCTTAACATATACACCCCACATCATTATTTATTTCATCTTATAAAAAGGTAATCAAAATGGAATTAAATATAATTGACAATCATAAAATGTGTTCTGTCAGTGGAGAAAAGTTAATGAGCAATTACACTCTAACACTGTTTATATCAAGTAAAAAACAAGTGACAGTCTGTGTAAGCAGCATTTGTTATTCTCATTTCCTTAACATAATATAATCAAATATTCACAACACATTATACTACCCTATAATATGTTAGTACACATGTAACTCCTTAGAGTTCAATCATGTATATACGGCCTCCCTGTTCTTTAGCATCATAGTTTTGAAAGTATTTTAGGTGAACTCAACTGACCTACTTCTTCTCACTGTGCATGAAAACTGGCACACGGCTATTAAACCCTTCCTCACGTATCTCTTACCTTTCAACAACCCTTACCAGAAGACAAGCTGACTGCTCAATTTTTTCGTTTTTCCAGTCACATTAAACCTCTTAAAACATGTTATCCACGCCTTCTTTCCCAATTCATAATGTCATATCCCCTCCCCGTGGCTCTGTTCATATCCCTATTCATAATATATCCCCTGTACCCGCTGTGCACCACAGGAGCATATCAACTGATTCCAAAAATGTAAGGGTGATTGATATATTCTTGCTCATGACATATTGTCTTTAGTTTCTCTCCTGATTAGCTCTTGAGGCAGAAGTTTGACCATTAAATCTACGTTGTATAGTTTATATCCCCAGAAGAGAGATGCTTGTGTTAAAAAATACTAACTTCCTGTCTTAAGATGTGAAAACATATGTAAATTCTTAATATGAACAACATGTGTGATTATAGCACGACAGTATGTCTAATCTGCAGTGTGTGTACAATATACCTGAATGTCCAGTTATAGTCATCAGACACCCTCTCCATCACGTCAAAGACTGGTCCTGGCAGGCTGCATATGGGACGGTTCCAGTTGTCACGTACCCTCATGTACAGGTTTCGAGTGTAGAAGTTCTCGAAATCTTGATAAAGCGGCACGAAGTCCTGAAGGCAAAGAGAAGAGAAAAAAGTGTGGGTTCAGATTGGAGGAACAATAAGAGCAGGAACTTCAAACACTGAACACACTAGAACTTATCCAAGCACTATAACAAACAATCCATGTCAAAACATTAACATTACATAACACAAAGAATCCTTAATGATAGGATTCTGCACATTCATTTATAGTAAGACGTGGCTTTTTTCACTCAGTGGCTTTGGTTAAGAGGAAATCAGATGTACTGCCATGTTGAACTTGAAGTTATAGAAATGTAATTAAAATGGCGCCATTACGACAGAGCCAACATTCAGTAAAGCTCATTTTCATTTAAACTGTAAATGATTGTTATCAAACACCAATGTCATTCCTCACAGACAATGCTTTTGTGTTTCTGCCTGTGGATGATATGTGTTATCTTATAATAGCGAATTATGGTCACAATGGTCATTGTTTTTATAAGGTTATAGCTTTTTACAATGAGCCAAAATGAACAAATCAGAAACAACTAACACAATAATCTTACAACTACAAATGTTCGGATAAAAAAATAAATAAAATGGTAACATACTGTAGTGGCTTTTATGTGGCAGTTCTCAAGCCCTATCTTGGTTCTAAAGCACTGTTACAAAGAAAGAACTGAAATCCTCTGAGAATTAATGATGTCTTCAGCATATATTCTCTGTGGTGTCCTGTCTCACCCATGGCAACATCATGGTGCAGATGAACATGAAGGAAGGAGGCAGAGAGAGTGAGAGAGCTTAAGAGCAACAATTGAAATAATTAGGGGAGAACAAAATGTGTTGACACCCAAGGCATGATCCTCTATTCCAACTGCCTGGGTGTTTACAGTGTGTATGCCTGAAATATGCCTGTTTGTGCTGATTGCATGTTTTACCTACCTTCTGTTCCTCTCTTTCCTGGGCAAGGTGGCACTTCTCTATGCCCACAGCTCGGAGGAAATCCCTGAAGTAGCCAAACAGCGTGACAATGCCAAAGCCCAGGTATGTCATGACAGCCACGTACATCGGGGCCTGTTCAAAGGACTCCTGCTTGTGCTGCCTGGAGGCAACACAAGTCACTGGGCCATCTTTCTATACAAATAGAAAAACACACACATAAGCTGTTTTACATTGCAGGCAGGACCAGAGAAAATAGCCTACTGTTTGAATAAATGTTGCTGAATTTCAAACGAAGGGTTGTAATTATCGCACCAATTTACCTAAATAAAAGAAGAGACAGACATTGGTGCAATTACAGTTCAGTCACAAACACATATTATCCGACACTGAATGAAGACAACTGGAACACTATCTGTCGGGATATTATAACATAAATCATCACATAACATTCTCGCTCTGAGTTGTTGACATTTTTACTAGGGGTAATTCTGTAGATGCTGATTTTTTGCTTTCAGACCTTATAAGTCTAAAATAGCGTAAGCAAAATGTTTAAGTGGGAAAAAGTGTAGGCCGATACGAGTTTACAAAATGTGTAATTGTTGAAAGGATGTAAATGTAATGTATTCTAACTTTTTTGTTTGTTTTTAAGATCGTTTTCACAGGCATTTACAAGAAAATCCACTCCTCATGTTCTCTATAAAGACATCTTTCGAGAAGGCTACATACTGTATAAAAGTGAACACGTAATAAATAAAGTAAAAGTAAATATACACATGATGCTACATTGACCATTAACTATGAAGGGACCTGCATTGATATTTTTGTAAAACGTTGTTTGACACGAACACGTGATATATCACTTCCGGTTGCCATTTATGTTTGGTTAAGCAATGTGTCGAACAGAATATTTTAAATAAATCATTCCTCACATAATATCCTTTGAGGATTGTGGATATATCTTCAAGCGGTGGTAAGTGTTTGTGTTTTTAAACGTAACGTTAACGGCAATGGGTTTTCACTAGAGCTAGCTTACACAAAACTAATGCTGTCATGCGTTAGCTTACTTTCTCATTACTTGAGTATCAGGACAGGTAGTAGTTAAAAACGTATGTAAACTGCTCTTGTTGGACAAATGGAGCATTTGCTTATAGTTTTGTACTACATATTTGAATAATTGCTAGTTTGTAATACTGACATTTTAAGATGCACAATGGCTAAGTAGTCTAAATAAGCCAGCAGGTGGCTTAATTAGCAAAAGAAACCACCTACATATCACTCATATGTCTGTCATCAAATGAACGCAAAGGCTGCAATGCAGGTTTTAGATGCAGTCCAGGCGGGACTGCACTGTATCTGGAACCTGAAAAAGAAAACCTGCTTTTGCATAAGAACAATTTCAGGGCGAGGTCGTTTTGTTCATTATTCAAACTGTTTAGGCTACTTTCTTTTTGTAGGAACTAGCGTTCTCCTATTTAACCAACATATTTGAACAGCAGGCAAATCATATTCTTAATTATATTTATTTAACTACATGAATATAACTTTATGTTACCTAAATATCACGAGCCAACTAATGGTAATGTTTTCGTAAGCGCCGGAGATGACAAAACTCAATGACATACTGTTGCTACTTTCACAGAGCAGCATTTTATTGATAACGGTTTGTTGGGTTTTCGTTTATAAATGGGGAACAGTCTCTATGGGTTACACAGTTTGCCTACGTCACAGAGGTTGATTCAGGTAAAGAGCCCCCACGAAAATAATATTTGCTCAGGTTCAAAGAATATCTCTCAAAGCAAATGGTAAAACACCTGGCACCACGCATTACATTTAGCAGGGACAATAAATAATTTGGAGCCCAAGTATATGTTTGTAGATAAATCCAGCCGCTGACAGACATACCTCTCTCTTGTTATGATAGCCATTTCTCTTTATGTCTTCGCGTTTCAGTCCATTCTGGTTTAAATGTGGTTTTAAGAGGACGTTCGCAGCAGTTCTTGCCATATTCCTCTAAGTCCACTAGCGACTGCCTCCGCTGTTTGACAGTCAGGTAATGTAACCGGTGTGCTTTACTGAACTTACACAGGTGACTTCCTCCTTTTGTTGCTTCGGTTCAGCCTCGTATGCATTGTTGCTGTGTTTGACCAGCAATATACAGAAGTCACACTTCTGTTATTGGGCTGTTTCGATATCACGTAAAAGTGACCAGTATATCTTCTCCTTTTATCCGGAAATTAAACTTGCGACAATTACCAAACCGTTTGGGTTTTAAAATGTTGTTTTTATTTGAATAATCTTTTTTATTTTGGTCCAAATGTATTGTCACCATTCTGTTATGTGGAAGAAATAAAGTACATTTACTCACTTACAGTAGTGTAGGGTTGTAGAGCATTAACAATATTGTAGTATTTCCATATAATATAACGCTACTTTTCACTTTAATTACATTCTTTCATTTAACACAAAAGGCTCTATACATTATATGTATTCGACATTCTTAACTACTCGTTAAGGGGTTTCTTGGTGGGATTATTACTTGTTAATTTTCTCATTCTGATTTTTGGACAAACAGATCATGATCATGAATTTATAAACTGTTATTTGTTAAACTATTAAACCATTTATAATGTAGTTCAAATGATCACCTCCAGCATGCATTATTTTAACCTTTACACAAAATAATATATAATATATAATATTTTTTGAAACTTGAAAGGTGCCTTTTCCTGCATAACTTGTTGTTTTTGCTTGTGATACTAAGTACGAATAACACAAGTACCGTACTTATTCCAGTAGGATTGTCGATTTAAAAAAAAAAAGTATCATTACACTAAGATATTCGTATTTTGATTTAACTTAAAATTTGCATTGCATATGTTTAAACTCATTTGATGGCAACACAATTATACATGGTTGAGAGTGTAGAAAACGTATTAGTTTCATGAAGTGTTTGCAGATTTAATTTATTGTAACCTTATCTTATCTTTGAGAATGGTCAGCCCAGTGGTGATACAGTAGCAGTACACACCAAAATAAATCTTTAGCAATGTGCAGGGTTTGGTGCTCCCAGTCATGTAATGGCCAATAATAAGCCTTAAAAACATTACAGATTTTTTAAACATGTTGCTTTCAAGTTTACATAGTTTAGAAATGATTTGTTTGCTTAAAATGCTTAAAATAATGATATAGTGTAGCATTTTATACAGAATTTGCTTTTATGCATTCACAGGTCAGATGGGAGGTTGAGCTACATCTGGGGAGCTTCTCAGGAAAAGCATATGCTGGACTGATGTCCTCTGTTTACAGTAAGTAATACAAACATTCTATTAATAACTTCCATCCAAATAGATTGTTTTAAAGTTTCAGCTTTAAGCAGACATGTGTAATCAAAGGACAGCCTAATGATACACTTTACACCCCCTGCTGTGGCATTGTTTTTGCAGAGCATAAAGGCGATAAGAAACAGGAGAGGTGCCACCATTTTCCGCCTTTGCAGTTTTTTTTTCTGGTTGATTATTTACTGAAGTGTCATAAATCCGACATACTGTACTGCCATAGTTCAAATCAAAATAGCCTTGTAAAGTCACTTCTGTATGCATGCTGTTGTTGACAATTTATTGTCCACCTGCCTTGTTGAGATTGTTCCCTTCTGGGCAAACACAGAGAGATTGTTTGTAAAAGGTCAACGCCTACTCAGTGGTCTAGCAGTGCACTTAGTTTGTGGGTGCACAATAAATGGCAATTGTGACAGTCAGTGTAATGAGGGTTTTTCTTTACTCATTGACCTGTTGCTGTTTCGAATAGCTGGTCTCTCTGCAGAGTATGAAATGCACACAGTGCAAGTGATGATGTGAAGGGGAACATGGAGTTTGGAACTAGGGAAAGACTAGGACTTTAGGCAACACTATTTGTTACACACTCTCTACTTTTTATGATCACAGTGTCTTGGACTAATCCTGATGATCCAGCCAATCTAGCCAATACTGACAGGCGGAGGGGGCGGCCTTGCAGTCATACATAGAAATTATTTAAGCTTCTCCCCAGTCTCACTTGGTTGATCCTCCATACAACAATAAACTGGTTATTGTATGTGTCTTAATCTTATTAATATGTTTTTAAAATCAGAGTTATTTTTTCTTAGAGATTTTAATATACATGGGTGTTTCCCCTTTTTACTCCTTGTTTACCTCTGATTTTATGAACCTCTTATATTCCCTTCTTTTAAAACACATGGAGCTGGCAGCCATGAAAAAGGGCACACACTTGACCTGGCTCTCTCCATCCTGAGCCCAACCCCCCCACATTGACATTTCCCCCCCCCCTTTAAATCCACTTTGTTCCTCCCTCATGTCAACCATTTACTGCCAACAGGTTTTTGCAGTTTTTGAATGAATAATAGAGCCTCACTGTATAGGAGCTTGTGTTTTTAATATCTCATAGATATTAGAGGCTAAACTGTAGCTCCAGTCAGATGTACAAGTTGAATGTATCTTCTCTGCCATGGTTGGATGAAAAGATACATGTAAGGAATTTAAAGACAAAGCAGGAAGGCAGAGTGGGAACGGAAAAAAGGCAGATGATGTCGATCCTCTTAAAGAAGACGATTCCAATGTTTAATTTTGAACCTCTATGCTTTTGTTTTAGATGTATTACAAATTGTCTCAACTGTTCTCAGCACAGCACTGATACTGCAACTTTCATAGTCTCAAATGGCTTTCAGTACAGATCCCATCGATACTGGTCTGTACTCCACATTTAAATGTGCCTTGCCCTCAGTTTAGCCTTTAACAAAGTGGATCTAAATCAGCAGCCTGAAAAACCATGTCGGTATCAGGGATCTTGCGATGGATTAGTTGACCTCTATTTGTCAAACAGGTTCTTGGGAGCAGGCAGAGAAACTCAGTCACCTCTTTTGAATCTCTTCTTGGCTGGCTTTAATCATTTGTCTTTTCCTTAAATTAAGGTTATTTGTTGCAGCTTCTTAATTTTATTTTTCCACTTTTAAGCCTTTAGTATTTATTTTAAGTGCAACATTAATTATGTAGTATAATTTATATATACTATTACTTACTAACTCATGTACATACTTTCTTACCTTCGTACTAACTTTTAGACTTTTTTCTCCTGACGTGTGTTTGGACCGGAATCACATTTGATTGAAGAACTGTCAAATGCTTCATATTGTACAGCCTGTCTAATATCTTCCATGTCATTTTAACACTTTATCACTATAGGTAGGAAAACTCAATCCTTCACAACCATTCACCGTTAGACAGACGTCATCCTCCTCTCCAAACCCACCCCCGATAGGAAATTGTGCAGTCCCTTTGACGTGTGTGTCTACGGTTCTTAAGTCTTCATTTGAATTGCAAAGCATGAATCAGGCCTTCTTTGAATGTATTGTGTGATGTTTTGGCTGAAAACACTCAGGCCCTGTGGGATGACACGTGTCATCCGCACTTCAGAGCTTCCCTCACTTCACTCTAACTGATGAGCGTTGGTGTTGTCTAATAACTCAAGACCCCTGTGAGGGAGGGAGTGGGGGGCGCAGGCTGACACTGACATCAGGGTAAACCAGGAAGGCTGACAGAAGAGTGCTGGGAGATTGTGGGTATTGCAGAGAGTGAAGCAGAGAGAAAAGGACACGGTTAATTCAGTACAGAGTAGTCGGCTTGCATCCAACTGTTACGGAGAAAGTGATTGAATGCAGGGTAGCATACCGCAGTCTTAGTAAATGAAAGGTATCCACAGCCCTCACCTCCTCTCAGCTCAGCTTGGAGACTTGAATGGAGTTTTCACAGCGTCTGGTGCCTGGGTGCCTTCACTACAGGATTACTTTCCACCAGAGGGACCACATGTAACCTACATCTGTCAGCCTTCATTAGCTGTGTCAATCTGGATGGCGCTGTTAATTTTGACTTCACAAATGATTTTCTTTGGCTAATTTTTCGACTTGGTTGGCACATCTAGGCAATTCTGACTTGCAATCCAAAGTTTCCAGCATTCAACTTTTAGTCATACTTTATCATGCCGTTGAACATGCTGTCTTTGTTAGTTAAACTAAATGTGTTCAGTATTAAAAGAGGATCAAGATATTAGGCTCATCTCTGTTGGGAAATTCTCAATTTGACACTCCGTCGAACATCTTTCATCTCTTCAGCGTGACTGAAGATTTCTTTGCTTCCTGTTTGATATTGATTGATGTTTTAATTTCATAACAGTTATTGATCCTTGTAGGTTTCACACTGACTTCTCTCCTCGCCATTTAACATTATTAGATGCAGTTTCCCTTTTTAAGATGTGATGGGGAAAATTATTTTGAAGCCTCCATGAAAGAGATTTCCCACCTTGAATACAGATGAATGGTGAAACAGTGTATATAAGGGGATAAGCCCACAGCGCAGTGGGACGTCTCCATCTACAGCGCTTTCATGTGAATCTCATGTAAAAGGGGCTTTCCTTAAATACATGGTGAATACTAATCCATATTTGATCTGCTTGCAGTTTTTTAATAGACTTGTTTTTAATAATTTTGCTAGCTTGGCAAAGTGAATATGTTTCATTATGAATTCTTGTGCCTCCTACATTCATATCTGTGTTTGGATGTTTGTGTGTTCATGAAAACACTTTCCAGAGTGCTCAAAATAAAAGGGTTTTAATGAGCATCCTATAAGAGATGTGGGATGTCCCTCCACCTTGTGGCAGTGCAGGGGACAGCACCCCAGGCTACAACACACACACACACACACACACACACACACACACACACACACACACACACACACACACACACACACACACACACACACACACACACACACACACACACACACACCGTACTGCTACTTCCTATACCCCGCCCATGTTTACCCTATAGTGTAATATTTGATTATGAGTCATGTGTTTACAGAGCAGATTGATATTTCTTTACTGACATAGTATTTGCTCACTGTAATACTTCTGTAATACCATCCAGGATTTAAATGTTTATGGATGAACTCATGTCATGCTGTGCTGTTGAAGGCCAGTTGTAATGCAGAGCTATATTTAAACTTCCCCTGGGGTGCCATTAAATCATGTAATTTCTCAATCAGGCCTGGCTGACCTCGTTTTAATATCCACAGCAGACGGCATTTGGAAAAGAAACATTAAAAAAGAGGAATATGGAATTGTGTATCTAATGTGCTATCTTACATTTACATTTTATATTCAAGCCTTTTTGCAGACATTCTTATCATGTTAGCTAAAAGCAGAATAAGCTGAAATGCCTTGCATTTGGATGTTGGAGTGGCTGGGGCGGGATATTATGTTCTGTGATACGGTTGTGTGTTTGTGTCTGTTGCCAGGAGGGAGAGTTAAAAGCGTGTCTATGTTTAGTTTTGCAAAGCGCGCAATCCATTTGGACCACCGAGAGAAATGAGAAAAAGTCATAAAAGGCTGATGCATATAATGCCTGTATTGTTGTTGTTTTTTTTCCGGGATGGATAAGAATACACAATGTGTTTTTCACTCGGCTAAATCAGATACAAAACTTTAACTGCGTTTCACTATATGATTTTGGGGGAAGAGGGGACAGACTGAAACATTGCATTGTGTTCCAACCTTATAGACTGTTAAATTCAATTTGGCTTTAGTTTTTTTTGCAGATAAGTTAGTTTGTGTTTGACAGCATGGGCTATTAATGCTGTGGACTATAAAATGTCTTCAATTAGTCCTGTATGACAGTAGAAACGCGTCTGTTGGCTCCTACATCTGCAGCACTGCTAACCTTGAGTGGGTGTTCCCATCCACACGGGATGCAAGATTCCCCTGTTCCCTTCAAAAGCAAGCGAGAGAGGGGGGGTGAAGACAGACTCGGAAACAGATATTTATAGAGAGAGTGGGAGAAAGTGAAATTATGGCTTGATAGTTTAAAGGAAGAGGGAGCAGCAGAATGACAGAGTGCCTAGGTAAAACAGAAAGATGGTAAACTACAGATGAGCCAAGAAGACTTGGATGATGCTGCAGACACACCAGAGGCTGTGTGGACCCTCCTGTAAATGTCTGTGTCTCTGTAGGTCACGTTGGCACCTAACTGTCTGAGTTGATCCTAATTAAGTCCCGCAGATATTATGAATTAGTCACTGAAGGGCTTAAGGAAATATCTTCTTAGGGTGTGTCCTGCATTTACTGTATACGTCCATTGTGATCACCCTGTGTCATCCACTCCTCTGTCTATTAAGTTTAATTACTGTGCTAACCCTTAAAGGTGGGGTAGGGAAGTTTGAGAAACCGGCTCGAGATACACTTTTTGTTATATTCCATGGAATGCTCTTAACATCCCGATAGCAATGAATATCTTAAGTGCTTTGACAAAAAATCCATAAAAATAATGTAATCTGTGGAAGCCGTAGTACTGTAAAAAGCACGACCAATCATCTGAGCCGGCCCGGCTAAAATAACTGGATGGCCTACCTGCCTGTCAGCCTTCCATCTGTGCACAAACTTATCTCGTGCCCTCATTGGTCATGTGCGCGTTTGTGTGTGTTGGAGGAGGGGCTCTGTAAGGAAGTGGCAGATTTTTTCCGGTTGTGTATTTTCAAATTCCAGCGCACTCGAGCTGGTTTCTCCAAAATGACCTACCCTACCTTTAAAGCAGATTTTAATACCATAAGAGAATTTGAAATATGTCCATGCTGCACACATAATATAGGTACCTGAGTTTATTAGCATAGTCAATTGACAGGAAATCGGCTTTCTAGTGCTATTAATGTTAAATAGTATTAATGATGCCATCTGGGTAGAGTTATGTCACTAGGTAGATGGCTGAAATAGTAAATCTTCCTTCTGTAGTCAAATTGGCTCAAATCTGTCATCCTTTTCTTCTGCTCTGACAACTGAAGCAACCATTTGTGCCGGGCACCCAGGAATCTATTGGCCTTATGACATCGAATCTCTGCAAGGCTCCAGACTCCCACCGAGCTGTAATTACAGTTTCCTATCTACCGGGATTGTACCAACCGAGCCCCACTGAGGCTGTGCACTAAATCTCCTTGATGTCGTCACTCAGACATCCAGATATGGACGGCCAGGAGAAGGCTGCGCCGCCTGGAAACGGGCTCCTCTCCTGGGTGGTTGATGTATGGACCCTCATGGGCTAGTTTTAACGGATGGTCTCTGTTCCTGCATTGGGCCCTTCTGAAGTTGTTGTCACACTGGGCAAATATGTCCGGGAGGATAGATGGGAGTTTGCTGTGTTCAGGGGAAAATGTTGTCTTGTGGACACACGGCTGATGAGATGGTGCAGACAGAAAGAGCTTTGTATGAGCCTGGCTGTCAAGAAAGGCAATAAATGAAGATATGTGGAGTAAGGTGTTGGTTACGACTCAGATGTTCAGCATTGTATGCTGCATGGGTTTTTTCAGAGCAGGTACTGTAGATATATTACAGTTAGTTTGGTTAATGATTCTTTCGGAATTACGACATTGTTTATACAGCAACAACAAATGTCGTTTCGGATTAAATAATTCATAGTCAATGCATAAAAGAGTAAGAAAAAGAAACAAAGGACTATAAAACTTTAATAATGATATCCATGATCAATGGGTATGCAGTCACTTTCCATTTGTGTCCAGCGATTTAAAATAACAAGTGTTCAATCTGTAGAAGGCTGATTGATTGAGTGTGCTTAGGAATGTAAGTGCCATATATTTGTATTTATGGGGCTTTGTTCTTCCTGAAAAGTATTTTTTTAAGGACATGAATTAGACAGAGATGTAAAACATGTCATGGAGCTTTGTTGCAGGCTGAGAGAGAATGATGATGAAAGGTGCCGATTGTCTCAGTGCTTCAGTTTGAAATATTGATTTGTTTTTATGTTGATGTCCCAACTAGATTAAACCCTTTTCAAATCAATGCCTGCCGTTTGAAACTAAGATAAAATAATGAGACTTGGCTATTCATTGTCAACACACCACTTTTGTGTGTTCAACAAACATTTGATAAAAACATGGACATAAAGTGGAATCTTTCACAAGATGCCAACATTATGAAGCAATGATTAAGCATTTACAGCAAAACTCATTACGTAGAGTCATTCACAGCCATGCATATCAGCATGTCAGTCCACAAGAAAAGTGGAACTGGTTGTGCTTTGAGCTGGTCTGCCGTGCAATCAAATTTGCATTACCGGTAGTTCGAAAAATGAAAGAGGAATAAAAATAGCAAGACAGATAGCTGGAAGGGTTTCCTTTTCTTTTTTGTAAGCCTGCTAAGTCGAGCGTGGTTATTATGAGAGTATCAATCCACATTACGACACACGGCTGTTCCACTCATTTACAACACTCTGCTAGTCCTCAAATGGGAATATCACAGTTACTGTATTTAAAAGTCACATTCATTATTTGTTATTCTTCCAGCTTTGTAGAGGAATGTTAATAAGCCCTATAAGCCATGCAGAGCTTTGACTCCTTGTTACTGCACTGCAGGGTTTATTATGTCCTGGCGTGTGCGAGGAAACACATGGTGGGAGCTTGACACTTCCCTATTTTCCTAAAACTTGGTGCAATAGTAATGGCTAGGGCAGACTGAGTGTGCAAGCTTGCGAACATTTAATTAAAGCATTTTTTTTATTTGGAGAGGTGGCTGGATAAATTTATAAGGAGCCTTAATATTGGCCAATATGCTCCTTTCATTTCCCTTTAAAGCTGCTGGTAGTCTAATTGGACTAAAAGTGGTTTAATATAGACATGAAAGGTCTCTGTGTTCTTTGAGGAGTCTGCTCATCTATGGACTTTTCAGTGTCTACAGTTCAATCTCTGTACTCTCATTTTGAGATACCCAGAGAAGAGGTCAATACAAGAAACTCCCAAAGCAAAGAAGGAAGTCAATGGTTCACTTTTGCCTTATGAAAGACAGATCAATAATACAAATGTGTGCATTTAACACAATATTCCTCAAATGTCTAGTAGCTTTAATAGATAAAAGCTATTGTCCTCGTTGCTATTAGTGTATAAAGCATGCCTCTCAGTTTGAATTGTTCAGAGAGGTTTTTCTGTGAAGCTTTGAATTTCAACTAACAGCATGAAGAAAACCCACATCCTTTAGCTCTCTGATCACATCACTTCTCAGTGGTTTACAATGATTCATGTCACAGTTGCAGGAAAACAAACTCACACCCATTAAGTGATATTTTTCAAAATCTTGCTCTTGATTTGGTGCTAAAAGCTGAAGTGCTAAAACCTCACGATTGTATTGAGTTACGCCCCGCTTGTGCACAGACCTGAATAATTGCATTCCTGCAGTGTGTCTGTTCATGTTACCATCTCCATGGGTATCGACTACACACACACTACACACACACCTTTGGTGTTTGAAGCTATGAAGTATAATGTACTGATATTTCTTGCCACCAACATGAGGTTGGTGGCTCACTCCTTAGTTATTTTCTTTTTGGGGGATCAGAAAACCATGGAAATGAATTGGCAATTCAGAATGTCCCCTTGGATATCAGTGGAAACGAACAATTTAATTTACTCTGCAAAACATCTAGAAACTGCCTGATGAATACAAGTATTTCTTAGTATTGAAAATTACGGGTTGGACTTACTGTGCTGACTCAAGCTGCAGTTTAAAAGGGGAAAAGGGACATAAAGCATAATGGCGTCTGGCTGTGATACTGGTGGCAACAGGCCTGTGAGTCTGGAGGCAAGGGGGAGGGAAAAGGAGAGGTGAGTGACTGATGGGCATGTGTCAACCCTCCTCCTATAGTGAATGTTGAGAGGGAACAAGGGTGGCTCACTAATTGGGGCGAGATGGAAAAGTCACTGTCACTCATGATCATCTTCACTAATATGTTTGGAGGCGAATGCCAGCTGAAGCATTAGTCACTGGAGATGAAGGCTGCATTTCCACTCAAATCATCTTGTTTGGACATATAGCTTTGGTAATAATAAGCTCGGTACCACACTGTGCTGCTGAACAGATAATTATTGAACATCTGTACTTTTAATTTGCAAGGCAATCTCAGAGAACAGCCCTCTGAGGCCTTTTACTTATATTTGTTTTTCTCTAACACAACCTGTACATCAATCCAGCAGTAATAGCAATGTCAAGGATAGTCATGAGGGTCATAATGGAGTATATTTCTTAACCTCCTTCTGTAGCATCTATAATTTTTCTCTGACCTTCATTTGTCCCCTTCTTTCAGAACCCTTCATGCAATAACCCGAGGGAAATAATGGCAAAGAGAAGGAGTGCGGGATGCAGCCTCTGGGATTGACTGTTAAATTAACGGGAGACACGCTATTCCATTGCGCTGCTTAACCATTGTGGAAAACAGATAGTGACAGCGATAACGAAGCAGGTAATGAAATAGTAAGTGCTCTTCTAACTGTTGTGTATGTTTATCACTTTATTTGCTTTGTTGTAGTCTTCACAGGCTATAACAGAGGAATAACAATCCAGCTGTTCCCATTGATGAGAGGAGTCACATAAAAAGTCTAAAGTTGATGACAAGATCATTTAATTTCACATAATAAGCATTTTCTCCTCGTTTAAATTACAAAGTAAACATTGCTTTAGATATTGTAGCTCAAAACCATGTTGCAACGGGTATAATTACAATCAAATGACACTATTAGATAAATATGCCACCACATTTATTTTCTCTGTTTTTAATGGCTGTTTAGTACTAGTTGGCAGTGACTCTTCTCATTAGATAGATAGATTTCTGCTCGTGAATTTAACGATCCGAACAAAGGCGACCAGTTATAGGATGTAATTTGAGTGGCTTTTAAAACCTGCTAAGATCTGGTTTCCATAACTCTCTAACTGGGGAAACCAGCAGCAATTATGGGAGTTGTATTAGCATAAAGTGACACCCCTGAGCTGTAGTCATGCAGCAGGTGGGTAATTGGCCCTGAGCTGTACAGTGGGCACTCTGTGGGTCTGTCCTTGTCTCGTGATGGGGACACCGGCTGCTCCAGAGTGTAGACCTATCAGCTGGCTGCCCTCTGAGCCAGCTGCAGCATTTCATAATTAACCAAGTGAGACGAGCACAGTCAGAGAGAAAGACACAGCTCTCTACTGTTGCTAGCTCTCCTCAAACCTCGATCATTCACATGCATTACATGTGGTACTCCTCTCTGGTCTGTTCTCTCTTGCTCTCAGTTCTTCAGATGTACAGTACTGAGAATATGTGTGTGCAGACAGTGTGTTAGTGAGAGAGACACAGAGTTGTATTGCCGAGAAAGAAACAGGACTCCAGAGGCATCCCTGGTGTTAATTGAGGTTTAATGTGATTTGTTTTGCTGGCCCTTCAAGCAGCCCTTCCCAGTTCATTAAATAGGATCCCCTGTGATCACTCTCTATGACCTGAGTTACATCTGTGTGCTTTAAACAACCTATCTGCAGAATATAAAATGATGAGGCTAATGCCGCAATGACACAGAGCAAAGTGAATAACCATTTAAACAGTTGTTGAAGCACCACTGCAGTCTACTTGAGAGAACTGTCCTTACACACAAAGCCTGTTTGACAGTAGATGTAAGCCGGCCAAAGGGCTGATGCTGGCAGGATACCAGGTGTATCTTGTGCACATCCATGTTTGTGCTTACATAATGATATAACCCAGTGAGTCCTGCAGGTGTGGTTCAGTACTGTGAGCAGAGGAGCTTTCAACAGAGAGCTGTAGTACATGCAGAGGTATTTCCTTGTAGGTCATACATTATAATCATTCTCCAGCATACACTGAGCATAATTACGCAATACAGCAATGAGACTTGGAGGAGTCTGGTAATATCTGTAGAACTTCATCCCAATGTTCCCTTTTCAGCCGTCAAAGCTCCAAAGAATTAAATGAGAAAAAACGTGTCATTCATGTCTTTTCAGATACAAAGAAATGGTTAATCATAGTGATCAATAGACCTCATTGTGGTCTTTTTTTATGTAACCCCTCATACCAAATCACCTCCATTCACAACAAGGTCGGTGACTCATTTCTACTGATTGTGTATTTAATATGACATAAATGTTTACAAATGCTTTTTTAAGCTTTGATTACCAGAAACCTGAGTGAGCTGTGGACAATATTTGAAAACCTCAGAACGTGAAAAATCGGGCAGATCACACTAGGCCTAAGAGAAAACATTGTTTCCGATGAGTTTTGCATGAACTGCCTCTTAATCAGTGACCTCATCATTGGTAGACACAGGTGTTGAAGGGGAGGTAGGCGGCGCTCATCTGTATATTGCCGTGCCACATCATTTCATTCAATGCCATATTCAGTAGGGACCACAATGCATGTGCACCAATGGGATTTTCTTTTTCTATTATAAAAATGTACGGGCTACCAGGTGCAGGTCTGTGGGGGATGTATTTATTTATTATAGACGGGTGTGTCGATGCGCAGAGCTATACCAGACCAAACCGATCATTCTATCTTGAGTGACCTTTCTGCATTGGTGCCACTGCACTGCAGTTCATGAATGTTTAATGGGAAAGGCTGGCTGTTTTGGGCCTGCCATGCTGGGTTTGCTACCTGATGGAAACATACCAACTCAAAGGCAGGATGGAGGTTTAAAACAGTGGGTGCTGCAAACAGAAAATAACCCCTCGGACCCACTTACAGTCTCTGTTGTGTACATTATATTAAATAATGCTATCAGATATCACTCAAGAACAATATACATATAGCTATAATGACAAATAAGAAGCACAGGCAGAGGGAAAGCGTGGGTGAAGACTAAATAAAGCAAGAGAGATCTATGAGGGAACAGGAACAACAGGATGCTCTGCCGGTTAGGTGTCATCGCCACAATGTTGTCTTTACTTTCTGGCCTGACACCTTTTCTGTCTCCTTGTGATTCTTACCTACAGTACCACCATATTTTCTCTAGACAGGAAGCACCTTGAGATGAGTACAAAAGAAGGTAATAACGAGGAGCATTTGCAGGAAAAAACTATAATATTAAAAGAAGATGGGGAAGATAATTGGGTTTGAGTAGAACTGAGATTGCACACAAATGGTGAGAAAATGTTTTGGAGGCTGGTGGTTTGCAGGCGGACAGAAATGCAGATCACAATTACCTAATTTATAAAAAGAACCCACATCATTTCCCTGAAAACAAACACTCAGCCGGTTTGTTGATGCCATGTTTGACTATAAAGGCTCAAACAACATCAAATCTAATCAAAGTCTCGCACTCTTTGTTTGCAAGATAAACACAATCAGCTTTTCACATCTGTCTGACAGCATCCCACTCGTCCACCTGTATGGAGGAGACAGCACAAAGGGAACACTAGTCAACTGTGTCATGAAGTGTGTGTAAGAGAGACACTAAGGCTGCCTTCACACCATCAAAGAGCAGGGAAACTTTCACTCCACTGAAGTCGTACATTTGACTTCCAGGGTGGCATGACGAGATAAAACCTTCAGCTCTGAGCAGAAATCTGGGCGAGAGACAAGCAGATGATTCAGCAACACTAACACAGTGGACTGAATAAGAATATGATTTTAATAAAAACTCTCTACTTTAGAACTCCTACATATTCATTGAGTCCAACCATGGTCGCTCAGTTCTAGCATAATATATTCATAAAGAAGAGGGAACAATAAAAAAGAGGATGAGATTGGAAAAGTACAACTTTTATCAATTGTACTTTCATGTCATACATTATACAAGTGATAAGAATCAGCAACAAATGCTCAAATGATTATTTTCAGCTTTCAAATGGCAAAACATACAAAAGCCTTTGCCACTTTAATGATGCCTCCCTGCAGCTTGAGGCGCCTCTTCACATTTCCAATGGTTCTCAGCTGAGAAGCACTGAAGAGGGAAATAAATGATAGAGCCCTTTCTGTCGGGGCTGTGGGGCAGAGAGCAGGTCTCATTGATAATGCATCAGCGGAAGGAATCCATCAGGACCACACACATTTAATGCATGAAGCGTGTATTTATGCATAAAGGTGCGCATGGCTTATTGCCCCCGAACCTGTGGCTAGGCTAAATGGGGCCGAGCCCCAGGGCGACTGTGGCTGCGAGGGAGTGCGGTCGTCTTTCAACCAGAAGGTTGTGGGTTCGATCCCAGCCCATGCAGTCAACATGTTGATGTATCCTTGGGCAAGATACTTAACCCTGAGTTGCTCCCGATGGCATGGCCAACGTTGTGTGAATGTGTATGAATGTTAGGTCCTATAGAGTAAGGAACACTGCTCTGTATGAATGGGTGTGAATGGGTGGATGACATGTAGTATGTAAAGCGCTTTGAGGGGTCTTAAAGACTGGATAAAGCGCTATATAAGTACAGTCCATTTACCATTTGCCCACCCCTCTGAATTGTCCCCGAGTACAGTAGCTCAGCGGCTCCACTAGACAACACTCCTGCCCAGTCCCAGACAAAAGGATGAAACATTCATGAGGTGTCTTAGCGACAATGGCAGATGCAACATTGTTTGGCGATGGTGGACTCGCA